AAAATTTTTTGATGTCTTTATATATACATAAATGTTTCTGGCCATGAAGGTGCTGACTCCCGTTGCTATGAAATGTTATGAGGGCAAAACAAATATTAATGAAACAGCTCTATCATATGTGGAGAGAAAAAAGAGGAAGCTCAAGGTAAGGAAGATCGAACTGTGAGGTAGTTTATCTTTTGTCTCGATTGGAAAGTATTCGTAAATTGAGCTTGCCATCAGCCGGAGGATTGCCTTAAAGTTGCACAAAGAAGTTATTAGCACCGTTTTGAGACCAGGATGAATCCATGCAGATGACATATTTGCAGAAATCATAATCAACCTTCGATTTTTGGCAAGATAAATTCGCACATTCATTTCACACAAACAAATCTTTCTTCATAATCCCTAAGGTAATTTAAGAAGCGAAATTACGGATCAGGTATATATTGAGATCTGCAGGACTGTATTAAGATGTCTTTTTCTTTAGGTCAAAAACCGAAATCTGTATAGCAATGGAGAAAATCTAGCAAGAAATTCTGGGATACAAGAGCACGATGACTCCTAGTGCAGATACTGTGGTAACGTGGCTAGACGAAATTTAATGCAAGCTCTTCCTCACTTACATCACTTATGAGATTCAGCAACCTATTTTTATTTCTCCTACTCACAAAACTTAGTCAAATACGAAATCATGGAATAAAATTGTAAATATTAAGGCGATAAGAGAAGTAAAAATGTCAGTACTTCAATACGTCTATTTTAAGAGCTCATTGTAATCAAGAATGGACTGCAATTTTGAATTACCTTATGCATGGTCGGTTCCTAAGAGATAAGTCTAGAGACAAATACTACAGCCAGGCTATACATGTTATCTTAGTGAAACATAGAAGGGCTGATCTAAGATATTTCACGAAGAGGAATTAGGGCCCCAAGTTAGGTCAAAATCAAGAGCATAATCGTAGCTATTAGAAAAATATGAATCGCATGAGGTAGCTGATATATCACCTGTTTCAGATAATAAATAAAGAAGAAGTAAGCAAAACCCGCAGTTAGGAGAAAATATACATTTCAGGGGAATTATGACAATATAGACATTTCATCGCTTCATCTTTGCTACTTTCTTAAGATGTTCTCGGAGAGCTATTTGCTTTTCTCGGAAGCTACGCTTGAATGCTTTCCCTTTCACCTTATGTTTGATCATCTGAAAAGTTTTGCGCTTTCGCTTCTCTCGGTTGGTCGTACTGGCATGTGGATTCATTCGATTTACCTATTTTTAAAAGAAATATAGAAGGATAAAAATAATCTTTTATAATACGAAAAGACGAAAAAAAGGATTAAAATAAATAAGACAACAACTGGTCAAAGAGACAAGTAACATTCGAGTACGTGTGTCTTTCAAGAGAACACAGTGGTACATAAATATCGTTGAGGGTGCTGACAGGGCCCATGATGGTTCAAAGCTGTAATACAATTTGTATAATGGAATTTTATGGGCAAAAAGGTCTTTACCTCATATTTTCTTTGAAAGCTCAATAAATGGGCTGAGAGAAAGAAATCTATTTAAGACGAAGATTGGCGAAGGAATGACAATAGTAGGTAGGCCAAGATTATCTTATCCATAGAGCACTTTATTATTCATCAGTTTTAAGGGGAATCATGGAAAAGTAAATAGAAAAGATTTTGGACATAAGAGAATAAATAAAGATTAGCGCATCAGGTAAACACCAAATGTTACTTGGGCACTACGAAATATGATAATTAAAGAGAATAATTAATCTTTCCATCAAATTTGACTAGGCTTCATGCGTAATGCTCCGCCCAGGTACCTCAGCTTTGCCCATGAGGCAAGGCCAAATAAACTATAGTGGCATCGTGAGGCCCAACCCTGGCAATATGTGAAAACTTAACTGAGTCCCTCATCACCTTATGTGACTAAGGATAAATAGAATTGTTAATTAAGTAATATAGGAACTAAATCAATTTGAGTATAGCTATTGTAGTCGATTGCAATAACAAATACAAGTTTGCCTCATTGACAATTCTATTAAAAAATGTGATAAGGAAAGGGCTTGCCTTGCCTTAGAAGTCATGTCAGCCCTGTGATCCACTGTGGCATAGTGGTAAAATGGTAAAAATAAATGCCACACTGCCTGGTTTCAATTCCCGTTTGGGCTGTTAATGAGCCCCAGAAAAGTTAGAAATTGCAATGAGACCAGAATGAGAGTGAAATTTAATGACATAATAACATCACCGTGTGAAAATTCAATTGCCTTCTTCATCTTTAACACCTATTGTGACAAAAGGTGAATATGGAACTTTTTATTTATTTATTAGAATGAAAGAACTTAGATAGACTGAAATTATTAACAAAATACCTTCTTAAGCCAAACTTTCGACCATGGCTCACCTGAAAGCCGAATTTACTCCTTCCTTCGCGACCTGTTTGCACTGATTCGAGGCGCTCAGCTTTACTCTGTTTAGGCCGTTTCACCAATCGCGTGATTGCACTCATCGGCAACAAATCGGGATGTGTAAGCTGTTGAGATTCGCAAACCTTCTTTCGTCCTGGGCGTATTGATCGACTGCCAGCTTCATTTTCGTCAGCGTTGTCTTTCTCCATTTCGTCGTCACTTGCATTTTCACCCTCCTGAGGCTCCTCATTGTCGACACCAAAGGGCTCTTCGTCTTCCACCTTGTTTAAAGCCAATCTACGGTGTCGTGCGCTCAACAAGCTAGCGAAACGCTTCTAAAAATTGGAGCGAAAGAGAGAATTAGGAATATAAACTGATTATGCTAGTAGAGATGACAGTTATAGAGCCGAACACTCCGTTAAAAATTATATTAATAAAGTTAAAGTAAATAAATAAATAGTATGTTGTATCTACGACGAAAATAAGAATCATAATATTTAAACTAAAATTTTATATTACCAATTAACATTTTTGCTTGCTGGATAATCAATTCCGATTGTATTGATGATGTAAACTTAAGATAACACAATTGTTATTTGACCTTGTTTTCGCAACTTGGCCATATTGGCAGGAAGATCTAAAGGAACGTACCCTGTCCAGAGTTTATAGTATGCATGATAATTTCCAGTCTGACTGGAAATAATCATGTATACTATGAACTCTGGACAAAATGCGTTCCTTCAGGTCTTCCTGCCAATGTAGCCAAGTTGCGAAAACAAGGTCAAATATTTACTATACATTGAAAGAAGACTGCGACCAAAATAGAGGTCGCAACAGCTTGGTTTTCATATATATGTTTAAGAGAAATCAGATTAAATTAAGAAGCCTCGTAATAAGCCAAGGCAATGATTAATGGACTTTAAGGAAATAAGAATCGTTAGATGTTTAACTCTGACCTATGCAACTCTGCGAGATGCATAAAACACACCATGAATGACTAAAAACTTAATGTGTCCGAAAACATCTTTTATTATGTGGCAGATTTAATTTCGCTGCTTCAAAGGCCCGGTCGCAAAAACGTACGGTGAACGACGTCGTCAATATACTTCTTCAGATATAAAACAGGCATTTCTACTTATTATCGGGAGGTTAGTGGGCTTACATTGTCTTTTGTGAGAAGTTCTGACCAAAATGTAGAAGAAGCTTCGGAAACCGAAGTATAGTTAATATAATAGTAGGGCTATGCTCGACTGTACCAGTCCTTGAATTTCAATTTATCTGGAGCTTATAAGTCCCGACTTTCATGTCTTTAGGAATCAGTAAATCCACGACAAAGCGTCGTGCCACAACTAAGCCTATTTTTCCAACCGGTATCCTTATTTTATAACAGAAGACTTAGACTGTGAGAACAAGGAGCCTGATACTTCATAAACAAGGCAGCTCTTGCAAACAGAAATCTTCAAGACAGCCTCTTCATATCGCCTATTCAGGAAGTAGCCCAATTTGTATTACAAATTTATCAGTTATCTGTTAAATGGTATATAATCCCCCTTAGCTAGGCCCAGCTAAGAAAAGCTTAAGCAAGTGTATAGTCTCCACACTAAAATACTTCGATTAAGCAGATCTCAGATAAAATTAAATCGATTTTTGTGAAATGACTTAAAGTTGAACAAATATAATAAAAACGAATGTAATTTTATCTTAATATAGACAATAATGTGAGACAATATAGTGAAAAAGCATGTCTTAATATGAATAGGTTATAGATTTAAAGAATTTTAGCATAGTACTATCAATTTTTACTTAGTAGAGCATGCTATAATGTCAGGTAAGATTGGAAGTACACAAAGTAAACAAAAAAAATCTCAGCATATTTTCGTAATAAATCGGTTTAAGGCAGGCGTATCGAATATTTTACCCACTTGCTTAGCCACTTGATATTTGTGCATAGCTTCAAACTCATCCTGAGTAAAAATTCGACTTGAGGCTTCTTCCAGGGCTAGCTTCATTATGTCAGCAGAAGGTAAAAAAGTTAACAACTTTCGCTTTCCTGAACTATCCTCATTCAATTGATTATCCACTGGCTTCCCAGAATTATCCACAGCTAGATGAGAGGAATCGCTGTTTGAGCATTCCTCAGAAAACTCGATGTCATCATTAGTTACATCTACAAAATAGATTAAGAGTGCAGTGGTATAATAAAAATACGATTAACATTGTGATGGCCCATTTTACGAGTATAGGAACTATAAGATCTACTCTAGTAATATACATACAAAAGACTATAAATGCCTTTAATAATAGTTAAAATGGTCAGGGTAAATTTCCATCACTTTGAAAGAGGGCGATAATGAGAAATATCAGAGTAAAAATGTAGCTAGAAGAAATTAATGTATGAATATTTTATATACGAAAAGAAACTGGGTTTCGATGAATCTCCTGAGATAACAATGTTGGTGGAATTTTCATTTCGTATGCAAGTGCATGAAGAATATATTTTTAGATCGATCTCACCAGAAGTGGACAGATGAATCCCGTTGTATTGCAGCAGTTTGGCTTTTATACGACGACCAACATGTTCGATTGAGCTCATCAACCAAACCAGAAGTGCCAGATTACGCAGCCCCAGTCATGCGTTTGTTTGGGGGTTAAACGTTAATTATCAGACTG